AGGAGATGGGCACAGCATTTACCTACTACACCATCTTTACTGAAAGTCTCTCAAAATGTAGTGTGGACATTGGAGTCCCAGAAATTGCTTCTGCAGCGTGGAGGCAAAGGAGAGCCGTGTAGTTTCAGGGGAGTCCAGGGTGAGAATCAGGAACAGTGATGTCTCATGTCCGACATCTGCAGTTAGGTTGAGGTGAGATGAGGCAGTGACCCCGAGAATCCTGGCCCCAGCTTCAACACGGTGAAAAGCAGGCCACACCTGTCTCCATAATGTTTTCCCAATGGCCATGTGAGGTTTTTAAGCACTTAAAATGTGGCCAGTGAACGTGAGGAATTGGATTTTAAATTTTAAGTTATTTCAGCTAATATTAATTTAAGTAGACTTTAATGTAGGTAGCTGCTGTGGCCAGCCCCCCCAGGAGGCAGCAGTCCGGACGGAGACCGGCCCGTCTGAAGGTATCCACAGCACTTGCTTCACTTACCATTTGGGGTTTTAGTTTCCTTTTCCTTTATGGCTCCAAAAATTTATCTTACTCGTTCAACTGTTCATTGAAAGGAAAGTTAAATTCTGTGCACTGTCTCTGGCGGGCTGGGAGGTTTTATAGTGCTCAGTCTACAGCCCGGCCAGAAGTGGGGCACGCCGGCCTTCCGTCTTCTCCGCCCTGGCCGTCGTCTGCACGCGAAGCGCTGCTCTGAAACGCAGCCTGTTCACACCACGCTTCTGTTCTCAGGCCTTCGCTGTGGGGCGGCGGCCGGCTCGGACCCCCCGGCTCCTGGTAACCGGGCCCCCCTCCTCAGTCTGCTCCTCTCTCCTCACACTGCATATTCAAATAGTGCCAAGTGCTTGGTCATAGACCTCACAATACTTTATTGTTTACTTGTCTGTCTCCCTCCCAGTCTGGGCTTCTACGAAAGGATTTGCTTTTCTTAGTCTTTGGAACCCCAACACCTAGTTCAGAGACTGACCCAGATAGGGGCCACTGATGCTGAGACCTCCGCTTTATCCAGGAGGTGGTGACATCATGTGACCACCTGTGGAGCAGTTCAGGGCACAGCCTGGCTCCAGATATTGGAGAAGCCCTGAATGGGGTAGGTGTAGTGCGTGTCTTCAGAGAGCTTTCAAGGTGGTTCTGAGGCTCGGCCCCCAGCAATCCAAAGCATGGCAGACGCGCCTGCCGCAGGCACGGGTCCCGGCCAGCTTCCCTATCGTTTTCTGAGAGTCACCGTGCCAAGACAGTGACTGCAGACACCAAAGGGCCTGCTGGTGTCTGCACAGGATGCACCTGTGAGGCTCCATTCCCCTCTGACAATCCCTTCTGGTCTGCTCGCATTCTTGCTGCGAAGGGGAAATACAGCCGTGATAACGAAGAGAATGAATAAGTAAAAGTGGGGTCTTGGTTCAGCTGTAGGAAGGGCTGGCTTTGCCTCACTGAGCTTTCCTGTGCTGCTAAGTGGCTAGTGGCATCTCTTCCTTTCTCCTAGTCCATCTTCTGCTGTTTCAGGAAGGCAATGAGCCACTGGCCTTTCTGTCCTAGGGTGGGGGGTGGGGGTTGGAGTGTCTTCCTGCACACCGGAAACTGTGGGTTTGATTCCTGGTCTGCACATACCTAGGTTGCAGGTTTGATCTTCAGCTGGGGCATGTACAGGAGGCAACTGATGGATGTTTCTTTCTCTTTTTTATTCTTTATTGATCTTTAGGGAGAGGAAGGGAAAGGGAGAGAGAGATAGAAACATCGATGAGAGACAACATCTATTGGCCCCCTCCTGCATACCCCCAATGGGGATCGGGCCCACAACCTGGGCATGTGTCCTGGCCAGGAAATTGAACAGCTGACCTCTTGGTGCATGGGTCGATGCTCAACCACTGAGCCACACCGGCCGGGCTGATGGATGTTTCTCTCACATCGATATTTCTCTCCCTTTCTCTCTCTCTAAAAATCAATAAAAAGGTCAGGATTAGAACAAAAAGCAATATGAGGTCCCCAAATGAACCTTATCTAGTGCCTAGCACTTAACAGGTGCTCAGGGAAATATGTTTTGGGTTGAAACCTGCTTGGTTTGTCTCTGTATCCCTGGATGCCTGGGAGCTGCTGCCATCCTGAGCTTGAGGGAAGGAGTGGTCGGTGAGTGAGCACTGGGCTGAGCAGCAGAGGCTAGATGTAACCCTAACTCTGCCCTTAACTAGCTGTGTGACTTGAATAAGCTGCTTTACCTCTCTGCCTCTCAGTTTCCAGTTACTGTATGTAAGACATTTAGCATGGACCCAAGGTGGTTATGAGGTGCTCTGACTGTGTCTTCCCTTTTCTAGACCTTCTGGTTTGCACGTACTCCCTTTATATCTGAGAAAACTTCTCATCTTCCTTCTCATCCTACTCACAACTTTGCCAAGCCCTCTCTAGGCCGAAGCAAAGCTCACGCTCTCCCTCTCTCTGTGTACACTGAATATTAGAAAAAACCCAGTGCACGGAGGAAATCCCTCTAATACTTAGACTACCAACTTATTCTATTGTGTACCCTGTTTTCTCATAATTTTTATCGGTGGTCTTTTTATTCAGGGCCTCAGATCTGAAAAAAAGTGGGCTAAAGAATTTCTTACAGGAAGTTAATCTGATTGATTCACAGTACATTTCCCAGAAATACAAAATATGACATCAAAGGGTTGTTACCTATCACCAGGGAGGAAACCTGTCCTCATGGAGGCACCTGACAGGTGAGAGAAGGAAGGGGTATATGAGTGAGCTGGGCAGTGGGGCTTGGGCTGGGAGTGGGGACCGATTCGTCAGTGTTCTCTAAGGAGCCCAGTGCTGCTCCTTCTTCAAGCGCTTCATTAGCTTGAGTAGAAGTCTTGGATCAACGTCAGCGCAGCTCTTGGCTGGTGCTCTCTGGGAGAGCCAGGGGAGTGCCTGTGACCGCTCCATTAGCGGTTGGCAGCTCCCCAGGCTACTTCCTAGCCTGGACTGGCTCAGCCCTCACATCTGCTGAACCTGCTGCGATACTCGCACGCGCGCGGGTTGTATCCTTGCCCCATGTGGGTGGGCTTTGGCGCCAGCTGCCTAGCCCAATGTCTCCCACTGTAAAGGCTGTGAAGACCAGCCCCAAGCACCACCGCTCCCAGCACTTACTGGTGCAGGACTCTGTGGCCTCAGGAAGGGATCCAGCCCGGAAAGCAGTCATTAGTGACCTGTGCTATGAGGAAATGTTCCCTGGGAGGTTAACACATGAGCTAAATGAAATTATGATGATAATGAGCTACCTTTAACTGCGTACATACTCTGCCCTGGGCACTGGGCTAAAAACCCTTTGAACTCATGGCCTCTCTTTACACAACAGCCCGTTAAGGCCCCTTTATACAGTTGGATAATTGGAGGCTCAGAGAGGTGAAATAACCGGTTCACAGTTACACAAGCGCAGTGGCAGACCTAAGACTACTGACCCCGAGCTCAAGCTCTTACCACCCACTCTACCTGCTCTGACTCACATGATGGTTGAACAGAACTTTTCAAAAGTTGTGTGGGCCAGGGGTAGGTAGAAATAATGCAGGTTGTGAGTTCTAAATTCCACACCCCCATGGATTAGTTATACAGACTGACCTCCAAGAGACTGGAGAGAGAAGTTTTGGCTCAAACTGACCCTTATTCAAGAGGCAGGTTTAGTGACAAGCCCTGGACAGCCAGCCACTGCGGTTCCACTGATGCCGCGGGCTGGGCGAGCCCAGCAGAAGGTTAAGAAAGTCAGGAAACATGCGGTCCGAAGTATGTGGAGGATGAAGGAGCAGGCAGGCTTGATGTGGCTGGGATGTTTGCATTGTTTAGACATGAACCTCATCTTTTCTTTTTTTGAACCCCAACTACTCTAGTCATTTTTCTCCCCTAAATCCCTAAAGGCATAACTCTACCTGCTGCCGTCCGGCCCCGTGGACTGATTCTCCGGGGGTGAGTCAGTGTGGTCTTTGTGCTTGAGGGTGCAGGGCTCCTGCGCCTCTGTCCACCGGGCTGGTTGTGATGTTCCCCACTACCCACTCTGGGCCTTTGTTTTTATCAAGGTGCCCATACCTCTAAATGTCCCTGTGTTTTCCTCTGCTAGATATATCTTCTTATTGTTTCCAATTCAATAATTATTTTACCTGGCCTCTCTTCACAAGCAGTTATATTCAGAGAACTACTCCATCCTCTGGAGATTGGGACCTCCCCAAGCGTGGCTCACTGAACCCAGTACAGGGCACATGCATATGTAGAAATACAAGTCTGTGGCTGCTGATCCCAGCCCTTGTGGTCAGAAAGGACTGACTCCTCTATTAGTTTGTAAGTGCCTTAAAGAGGCAGGATGGCCTCATGGAAAGAGCACTAGACAGCCTAGAGGCCGAAGCTCTCTGGTGCCAGCAAAGCAAACTGCTGACTGGGAACAGAGGCCCAAACCTGTCACCTCAGCCTGGTGCTGGGAGGCATGGTCTATTCTGAGACCAAGGCCATGTGGTCACTGACCACTAATGCTCCGGGTTCTGCTGGTGGTGCCTGAAAAAGACTTCTCTAGAATCCTCTGATACCCCCACCCCACTCCCTCCTCCCAGAGACAGCTACCTTCTCCCCTCTCATCCTCCTAGCCCTCAGTGGTCCCCACCCCAACACCTCTCCTCCCCTTTTTCTTCCAGCTGAGCCTGCGAGTCATGCTTTCTCCTTCTCTGGTCTCTCCTCCTACTCCCCCCCGCGAATCCAGTCCTGGTTTCCCCGCAGCCAGCCTCCCTTTCCTCTCTGCCTGGGCTCGCCCCCGCCCCACAGCGCCTGCTGTCACAGCAGCGGGTTCAGCTTGTCGCCCACCCAAGCTCCCAGCCACCCGGGACTTGGCTCGTTCAGTCCAGCGGCTCCAGTCCAGATCTCGCTGCTGCCCGACCTGGGTACGACTCCCGCAGCTGGGGAGGAGGCGGTGGCTGGCCCCGCTTCCCTCGCCGGCCTTGCCAGCCCAGGGTTGGCGGGCAAACAACAGCTGGCAGCCTCCCGGAGGACAATGCACCCAGCTCTGGGCCACCCCCGCTCGGTCTCGTCCTCATCCGGCTCCTTCCCACCGCTCCCAGCTGCCGCCCGGGCGCAGCCCCTCTTCCTCCGGGGGGGTTCCCCCCGTGGCGGGCGAGGCTCGGGCGACAGCAGCACCAGCACCAGCGCCTGTACCAGCCGGGGGGAGAGCAGCGGCAGACGCGGTGGGGGCGGTGGCTCCCCCAGCAGCAGCACCGGTGCGGAGCGGGAGGACGAGGACGAGAGCGTCAGTATCAGCAAACCGCTGGTTCCGGCCGCCGCCGCCGCCGCCGCCACCGGGGTCCCGAGGCCCCTGGCTCAGGGAGGCGCCCCAAACTCTGACCCCGTAGCGTGCGCTGCTTCCTCCTCCTCGGCCGCCACCCCTTCCTCCACGCCCACCTCCTCCTGCAGCATGACCGCGGTGGACTTCAGTGGGGGCACTGCCGGGGGCGTCGGGGGCCCTGGGGGCCGCTCGGCTGGGGCTGCGGGTGGCACGGGCCCCCGCAGCAACCCCTCCTGCTGTTCTTGCTGCTGCTGGTGTAGCCGCGCGGTCCCGCCAGACCGCAGAGGTCAGCGCCACAGCTGCTGCTGCGCCCCGGGTCTGGGGTGCCGTTGGGGCTACCAGGCGCTGTCCGTGGTGCTGCTGCTGGCACAGGGAGGGCTGCTGGACTTGTACCTCATCGCCGTCACTGACCTGTACTGGTGCTCCTGGATCGCCACTGACCTGGTGGTGGTGGTGGGCTGGGCCATCTTCTTCGCCAAGAACAGCCGGGGCCGTCGGGGCGGTGAGGCGAGCCACCACCAGCACCACCACCACGCTGCGCCCTCCCTGCACTTGCCGGCCTCCTCGGCGGGGGCTGCGGCCGGGGCCAAGGTGCGCGCGGGCCGCGGGGGCGCTGGAGGTCCAGGCGGCGGCCCAGGCGCGGCCGCGGCGGTGGGCGAGTTCGCCTTCGCCTACCTGGCCTGGCTCATCTACTCCATCGCCTTCACGCCCAAGGTGGTGCTCATCCTGGGCACGTCCATCCTGGACCTCATCGAGCTGCGCGCGCCCTTCGGCACCACGGGCTTCCGCCTTACGATGGCGCTGTCGGTGCCTCTGCTCTACAGCTTGGTGCGGGCCATCAGCGAGGCGGGCGCTCCCCACGGCTCCACGGGCCCCTTGGTCCTGCAGCCCCAGCAGCACCGCGCTGCCGGCTGCTTCCTAGGCACGTGTCTGGACCTGCTCGACAGCTTCACCCTGGTGGAGCTGATGCTGGAAGGCCGTGTGCCACTCCCCGCACACCTGCGCTACCTGCTCATCGCTGTCTACTTCCTCACCCTCTCCTCGCCGGTGCTCTGGCTGTACGAGCTCAACGCCGCAGCCGCAGCCGCAGCCTTGTCCTGGGGCCAGGCTGCGGGGCCGGGCAGCTGCAGCCGCCTTCTGCGCCTGCTGGGCGGCTGCCTGGTGGACGTGCCCTTGCTGGCGCTGCGCTGCCTCCTGGTGGTGAGCTACCAGCAGCCTCTATCCATTTTCATGCTCAAGAACCTCTTCTTCCTCGGATGCCGCGGCCTGGAAGCCCTAGAAGGCTGTTGGGACCCTGGGAGTCAGGCTTACCCCGGGTGGGCCGCAGGGTGCTACGGCGCCCCGCCCTCTGCCCTGCCAGGTCCGCCACCACCTCAGGGAGGCTCCCAGCGGAGTCACTGTATCTCGGAAAACGAGGCGGGGGCCCATGGCTACGTCAACACCCTAGCTGTGGCCTCCCAGAATTGAGGGCAATAAGGGAGGGGGCCTTGCTTTTTGGTTGAGACCCCAGCTCCCTTGTCCTCTGACCTTCTTTCACCCGGATTATATCAAGCTTTGTTTAGAAGGGGTAACTCTTAATAGGGCTAAAGGCCAGTGTGTCCTTTTGCACTCCGAGGGTCAAGACTGCTTGGAGGAAGACCAGCCGCTAATGGTGAGGGAGGAAGGTCCACTCACCCTATCTCCTTTCTCCATGCCTGACCCTAACTCTAGCCTCCAAGGGTCTGGATACCTCTGCTTCTTCTGCCACCTCTGCCCGAATTCCTATCCATTGTGTGGAGGAAGGGAGTAAAGGAGGTGCCCAGGCATGAGGTGCTGGGCCTTGGGCCTTCTGTCTTGCTTGGAGTGCCAGCTTCTTTTAGGCTGTGGCTAATGACCATTGTCCCATGCCTTGAAATGGACTCAGAATCTACTGTCCCCGATGTGTCTATTGGATTTCTTCCAGATGGTAGATGCAAAGTCAATGTCTCTATGTATGTGTAGTGTTGTTTTCTTGTGCCCACTCTGTGGCCCTTGCAATCAGTAGGAGATCTGGGGAGGCCCTGCTCTCCCCACTATACATGCCACCACCCTCCTTGTTCCTACCTGAATTTGTGGCTATGAATTCCCAGAAGGAGCTGGGCTCGTGGGAGCTTCCTAGTTGCTCTTCTTCAAGAGAGAAGTTCACCCAGGATCCTCCTCAATCCTCCTCCTCTCTTCTCAGCTTCCGGGAGGAGAGGGTGAGAGGGTTCATACTCTAAGGACCAAACTGCACCCTTTCTTGGGTGAATGAGCATTTCTACCTCCATGCTTTTGACTTTTATTGCATCATGCACTGATGCTGCTTGCAAAAAAATAAAGACACCATACTTGGAAGTTGCATTCAACATGGTCACTTGATCCAGGTGGGGTTTGGTGTCAAAGTTATTACAGGGTCTGTGGAGTATCAGCTAGTGGCTTCCTTTCTCTCTCCCTCCCTTTGCACCCATCTCTCTCTTCCTAAGGTTTGTTGCAGGCTGGGTTAGACCTTGGCTCAGAACAACACCTTTGGTGGGGTTCCTAGATAGATGTGAAGTTGGGTCTCCCATGGGCCCACCTGCCTCCCTCTAGGAAGATTTGTGTAGACCAGAAATGGGGGTGACCTCTGTCCTTTGCTCTGGCTAAGAGAATCCCCGAGGAAAGGCAGGCTTCATGGACCGGGGCGGGCATATGCACTGCGGCCCAGCCTTCCTCCCCGGCATTCCACTTGTCGAGGCTGGTGGGAGGGACATCCGGGGGTTTCCCACTAACAGTCTTATGTGGGCATCGCTTTTGGAGTCTTGGAGGTGGGATAAGTATTTTGAGGGGAGGTAAGAGTGCAATTGGGAGCAAGGCCAGGAAATAATCTCCTCTACCCTCCTCCCCACAATAGGATTTGGGGGCAGGAATTGTAAGAATTATTGTTGTTGTTGTTAATCCTCACACAAGGTTTTTTTTTTTTTATTGATTTTTAGATAGAGTGGAAGGGAAGGAGGGAGAGAGAGGGAGAAAGAAACAGATATGAGAGATATGAGGAAGACACATCAATTAGTTGCCTCCTGCATGATCCCAACAGGGATTGGGGATTGCACCTGCAACCAGGTACCTGCCCTTGACCGGAAATCAAACCCCGAGACCCTTTGGTCCATGGGCTGATGCTCCAACCACTGAGCCAAACTGGTCAGGGCTGAAATTATAAGAATTTTTATTTACAGTTTTGACTGTCACTCACTTTTGCTTTCTGGGCCTTAGTTTTTCACTTGGGGCCCCTCTTTCCCAAATTCTTGGGGACTTGTTGACAGAAGACACCCAGGTAGACAGACACACAAGAGGGGCTGATGGCTTACTCAGATCCTCTCACAGTGGAGGAAAGTATTTACGCTAAATGCACTATCATGCTTCCAGCCCCTCATCCAGTCAGGTCCAAAACAAACTGGTTGGATTTTGCAGCTAACTGCTTTTCCCCCCTGCTTTCTCTCCTTTCTCTATTGACTTCTCTTCCTTCACTTTGAATTCTGGGGCCCAGACCCTGGTGGGCCCCAATACTGCTCCCTCTGTTTCCACATCCTCCCTTCAGCGTTGTGGTTTGTCTGCTACCCAATCTCCGTGACTGTGAAAGAACTTTGCATCTGAGCCATGTGCCAGGTCCTGGCTGGCCCCCTGCCCCACCCCCTTTTTACTGTTTGGATGGTGTTCTCCCCACGAGCGAGCGAGCGAATAGCTGTGAAATCTCTGACTGCTGTTGGGTTTCTGGTGGAAGGCTGGGATCGGTTCCCACGAGCTGCCACTTCCCTGGGTGCACTGAGAAACTGACAGCAAAGGCCGATTCTGGAAGATTTGTCTGCCCCACCCCAAACCATCCTCTTCCAAACCTTTGGTGCAAGCATCTTGTGCTTAGGGGGTCAGTCCCTTCCTTCTGCTGTGTTTTCCTTGAGTCCTTTTACTTCCTTTGCCCCATTCACAAGAAGAAATGACCCCTCAACCTTTGTTTTTCTTGCCTTCTAGAGTCAAATTGGAGGTGTTCCCACAGATCAGATAAACAGGGGTGTGCTGTCTCCTGGGGCGGATGCCAGGAGCACAGTTCACAGACAGGAACCCAGATTCAGAGTCCAGGCTGTTGGCCTCCAACATTGGAGCAGGTGGGCATGTCCGCGCTCTGGGGGGCCGCCTCCCTGCCTGCTCTCGAAGGGCCTGGGCGAGGCCCCTGAAGGCTGTTCAGACCGCGTGTCCCGGCTCTGACTCCCTGTGCTCCCGCGGAGGCGCTGGCTGGCAGTCAGTGTCTGGCGGAGGGGAAGTGGCACCTCACTAGAATTTTTCATGTTTTCTCCCCCTTCTCTTTTTAAAAATAAAATCAGCTTCTGTTCTGAAAATAAAAAACTTGAGACTTGTGACAAGCTTCCTGTGTGGTCTGTTTTAAGATCCTTCCTGTCCTGGTTTCCTTTCTAAATTCTTAAATGTCACTGTGACATTTGTCACCATTTTATATATTTGTGTTAACATTATGCGTGTACCTTGGGTCTTTCCTTCAGACAGCGGCATGCTCCTCGGAGGCAGTGTGGCTCTGGCCTGACCTGCGGGGTCTGGCCAGTGTTCTGTGGCAGAGTCACTCGGCTGCGCCAGAGTGATCCCTCGGGGGCGGTCTTCAGGGTCTGTGTGAGTGGGCCATGGAGACTCACTGAGCAAGTCAGCTGGCGAGAGAGAGCATGTCAGTGTGCGGGCAAAAGTGGGGGCCAGCCAATCTGGCCTCTCTCCTTTCTACTCCCCCTTAGCCTCTCAGGGCACTACTGTGTCTTCTTTCTCTCTATTCAGAAAGGAAGGAGCCAATAAACTAATTTATACTAAAGTGTTAATAACCTAAGGGGCTATTCCTCCTAGGAAAGGAATCTAGGTACCTGGGTGGAGAGAAAGCATATTGGACAAGACTTCTTGGCATCCTTCAAATCATGACAGAAGAAACTCCATGTTCCTCTAACAGGCAAGCTGGCTCAACCAACCTAAAGGCACAGGACGAGAGGGTGGACCCCGTGCCGAGACGTGGAGGCAGGAGGGCATGGAGAGCCGGGAGAGGCTGTAGGAGCTGGCCTGGAGCCACATGGGAGTGATGTGGGACGCGCCAAGGGGGAGGCATGGGCACCGCAACTGCAGTCTGTACCCACGGGCTGGGGCGGCTGCTTTATTTTATATTCTTCTATAACATATTGTTTTGTTTTTGTTTCTATTGTCTATATTGTTTCTATTTCTCCCAGATGAGCATATGCCCTCAGATAACACATTTATGGAGCTCTTAATATATGGCAAGTATTAGACCATATGTCACTTTTATCACCTGAAAAGGCAAACACTTGAAGAAAGCAAGAGGAAACACAAACAGTATCCCGGATTCATCAACTGCTCGGCCCAGGACCAGGCCAGGGTGCTTCTCCTCGCTTAGAGGCAAAGAGACCCCAGGAAGCCTCTGGATTCCTTACACAGCAGCAGCTTGGGGGGCGGGCAGGCTGGACCCAGTAATGGGGACAGTGTGTCACCAGCTAAGCGCTGCGCTTATATGTGCCTCACGAGACCTGTGAGGTAGGAATTCCTGCTGCGCCCATTTCAGAAAGAAGCAAGAGGAGGCCTGTGAATGCTGGGAAAGAAGACACCTACTAAGAAGGGCTCCTAGTGGTTAACTGGGTTAAAATTAGAACAAAAACAGAGCTTAGCAGCCATTTCTACGCAGGGCCTCTCACCAAACTGCACCCTGGGGAGCGCGCCTGCCTGTGCTGTGCTCCTGCCCCTGAGCCAGCTCTAAAGCTCCTAGAACACTGCTTCAGCCTATAAGACTGCGGCTTCTCCCATCCAATTGGAGCTAACAGATCTGACCAACAGAGTGGCTCTATTCTGACCAATCAGGGCAGTGCCTTTTGGACCAATCAAACTGTGAGGATTTGGAGTCCTCATTTGCATGAGGACAGACCAATCATGGACCAGGGGTGGGGACTTTTGTCCATATAAGCCAGCTCCCCTCTGGCCTGGAAGCCCACTTTCCCTTCATGAAAGGCTGAGGCTTTGGTCTACCTGGCTGAACTGAAACACTGCAGATGTCTGGCTGGAGCAGAGGGCAGACCAGTGCAGGCCAGAGCAGACTGGCACAGAGCAGAGCTGTCTAGGAGAGAGGAGCTTAGCCCCAATCACCTGGGGCTGCCTTATAACTGTGCTGCATCACAAGCTGTTTTGCACTGAATAAAGTTTCCTTCTTCACTGCACCCCAAATTTTGGATCTGTTGTTGTTGAATTGGCACCAATGATCATTGGTTGACAGGCTTAAGGAAGAGATCTTGATTTTTTTTTTATTAATTCTCACCCGAGGATATTTTTCCATTGATTTTCAGATAGAGTGGAAGGGGAGGGAAGAAGGGGGGGGGGGGGAGAGACATTAATGTGAAAGAGACACATCATGGTTGCCTCCCACATGACCCCAACTAGGGCCGGGGATCAAACTTGCAACCCAGATATGTGCCCTTGACCGGAAACAAGCCCTAACCCTTCAGTCTGAGGGCTGTCGCTCAAGCACGGAGCCAAACTGGCCAGGGCAAGAGATTCAAGGCACTTGGCTGGCAAGCAGCAGAGCCAGGGGCCGGCTCTGCGTCAAGCACCGTCAGCCCTCTTTTAAGGGAACTCTCCAACACGCGTGACTTGGGGTCCAGGGCAGGGCTGGCACCTGCCCTGCATCCTACTCATGCGCGGGCCCCAGCGTCCCACGAGCCTGGGCAGCCTGCCTTGTGCTGCTTCATGGGCGGGTCTTCTCAAGAGGGGCTGGAGCGAGCAGAGCCCAGTGCAGAGCCTGAAGGACACAGAAGGAAAATCGCCCGTAGAACAGCTTCTTCTCCCTTACACCTTATTTAACTCTCAGAGATCAGCAGGGGGTAAGTGAAATCCATCATACCTGGCATTCACAGATCTCAGCTCAAATGACTAAAGGAGTGTTTAAGTGATTGAACAAACCCCCTCAAAACCGAAACACTACTGAGGACCTTCCTAGGCAGGAAGACACTGGTTTAAAATCACAGTGCAAGTGGCACGTTGTCGAGCAGTGTCCAGACTGCCTGCCACCTACTCGTGCCTTCCCCCGCCAGCAGGCAGGAAAAGCGTGAGCAGACCCGGAGCTGGAGCCGGAGCCGGAGGCTCGCGCTGGAGACTGTCACGGGCAGCGGCTCCCCTGCCTGCTTTGGGTCCTTCTGCCCACCTTGAGCCACCTCCGCTGCAGTCTGTTTAGGAGGTGGGAGTCAGACGCCTGTTCTTGGAGGGGTTTCTGGGAAAAGCAGGAGTTTATGAGCCATGGTTCAGAATAATATGAAAAGAAAGGTCTGGCTTGCTGTATACCAAGTCTTGAAGCTCTTGGTATTTGGCTGACAGCAGACACCACACTCAGATGGACAGAATTCCCAGCACGATGGTGAGCAGTGTGATTTGGGGGCTCTTGGGAAAGGGGAGGCAACAAAGAAAGGAACAGCCTTGAAGAGAGGCTGCAGCACTCAACAGGCCCACAACGGGCAAATCCACAGATGCAAAGGAGTGTTTGCCCAGGAACAAGGTGCTCAGAGGGCTTGGGGTGATGGTTAAGGGGTGTCGTGTTTCTTTTGGGGTAAGAAAATGTTCTAAAATTGATAATGTGGATGATTGCTGAACTTGGAACTCTTTTTTTTGTTATCCTCACCCGAGGACATTTTTCCATTTTTTGTACAGACAGAGTGGGAGGGAGAGGGAGAGAGAGGAAGAGAGAGAGAGGGAAACATCGACGTGAAAGGGACACATCGAGTGGCTGCCACCCGCACGACCAACCAGGGCCGGGGACAAACTGCAACCAAGGTACATGCCCTTAGCGGGAACCGAACCTGGGTCTCTCCGGACCGCAGGCGGACGGTCTAACCGCTGAGCCAAATCGGCCAGGGCGAACTTGGAACTCTTAAAGGCTGTTGGACTCCACAGGTTCAGTTGGGAAGTGCATGCTGTGAATTATAGAGCTCAGTGATTAGCTGCTGGGTTAAACAACAGCAGCCTTGGACATAAAGGGGACAGAGTGGACCATGCCAATTAAAGACACCTGGACTTGACGGCCAGCAAAGCTAGAATTCAAGGTTTGTGGGTAACACCATCCAAATGGAAGTGTGCTTCCGGGCACCAGGACTGCGCTGGCCGGGCCATCCTGCTGCCAGGGGATCCCTGGTTCCCGCCAGGAAGAGTCCATGATGGGATGCCACACTCCGGACATTCAGTAAGTGCTCATTCACAGAGCGCTCGGGAGGCATCTGGACACAGTGCTGCCCACCTCCGGGACTGCTGCACAGATGGAGCCCGAGGCCGGGAGAGCTCAGTGCCTTTTCTCCCTTAGTCTGCTCAGGCTGCTGACAGGGCAGACTGCATGCATCCCGGTGTGCTACTCTGGGGAAATGTCAAATTCTGGGCCTTCGCATCTCTCCACAAATACTGTCTTTGAACCTCAGACCTTTAAGAACAGGGTGGCATACACTCTTCTCCCCAGCGGGCCTGCCCTCCCCCAATCCGGCATGGACTCTCCAGATCTCAGCCCACTGCTGTCGGACCCGTGTGGAGCGGAGGGCTCCCAGCCTCGGAAGCACCCTCTGCTGTGGCTCTCCACCGGCTGGCTGGGAGCTTAGGGCTTCTGACTACTTCCCGATGAATGCTGTTCGGTTGCACGTCACATTTGTCTATCCTGTCTCTTCCCAAAAATGATGAGGTGGCTTCCAGGTGTGTTTGGCCCTCAGTCTCCTCCTCTGCAGAGCAACAGGAGTCGCGGGCCCTCAGGCTGATGCCCCAGCACCCAGCCTGGGCTCTGGCTAGCTCTCCACCGCATCTCCCGTGCCCCTCCTTCCTCTCCAGGCTCAACTTGGTTTGCTGATGGGCCCGGCTCCCACCCACCTCCCAACCCTTACCTTCCCCAGGACAGGTGCCTCCTCCGACTACAATCTCTGGCCAGGAACCTAGCTTCTCCTTCAGCTCACACAACACCCACTCCAGGATTTCTCCCTGGGCCGGGTGCCCCTTCTGTTTCGTAGCCCTAGCAAGCCTCTGTTCAGCTTTTCTATCTTGCAAGAGTGTCCTCTATTTGCTAATCTGTGCCTCTCACTAGATGTTAATCTCCTTAGTGACCAGGGTCAATGACAGGTGCAATTCATCTTTGTATTTCAGATGCCTGGCACATAGTAGGTACAAAATAAATGTTGAATAAATGGATGAATAATAGACTCGAGGATACTGCCACTAGCTCCTGGGAATGGGCTGCAGATTTCTGTAGGGATGGAGATGACCAGATGGTCCCAGAAGGAAAAATGAAGGGGGACGTCTAGGCATCAAAATCAAGATACCTACATCTGAAAGGATCGTTTCGTACGTGAACAGGCACACATGCACAGACACACGTGTCACCCTCCCCGCGGGCTCGGGGAGCACTATGGGACTGGCCGCTCCGGCTCCACACTGTCCCAGCCGCAGTTCTTCTGAAGCTCCTGGAAGAGCAGCTGTCGCTGGAGGCTCCGCAGGCTCTCCAGGGCCTCGGGGGAGAGCTGCTGGGCTGAGTTTCCCAGGTCCTGCTTGGCCCCCTCTTCTTCCATGTCCACCAGTCCCTCAGGGGGTTGTGGGGAGCTCCTGGAGATGTAGCCCTGGTCGGACTGCACCGACTCCCGCTGCCCCTCCCCATGGAGTGTGTGTGGGTCTTTGAGGGCCACCGCCGGCCTCACCCACCCCTCTGGGGCCTGGGAGCTCAGACTCTGCTGGAAGAAGGACAGCATCAAGCCCCTGAGCTCTTCCCTCACGTCCTCTGGGAGGGGGTCTGGCGATGCCATCGGGGTGCTCCAGAGAGGTGGGTCCTCTGCGTCCACAGGGTGGGGGTCAGAGCCCCCCAGCAGTGGGCAGGCCTCGTCCCCGCCCACAGGGGCCAGCTGACTAGCTTCGCTGCTCCTACCAGCAGGAGGGGCAGGCTCGACGGCCTGAGCCCGAGGGACCACCTCCGGGGGGAGCACCGTGGTTCGAAGGGTTTGGGTCGCCAGCTGCCCCTGGGGCTGCAGCTGAGGTTGCAGCCTGGCCACTTCTCTGCCTTCGTCAGCGATGAGCGGCTCCACCACCAGGCAGCCCTCAGCAGCAGGCTCCTGCACCAGGGGCTTCTGCTTCATAATCCCTCTTCCGGGTGGCAGCAGCCGCTCCTCAGACGCCTCTTCATCCAGGGACGGGAGGTCCTGGTCATCTGCCCAGCGGAGGCTCTCCCGCTCAAACCAATCAGGGCACTGCGCCTGCCACGCCCGGAACCTCTCCACCGCTTCCTTGAGCTGCCAGCCGCTGGGACTCTGCAGGTAGTTTTCCCCTGTGAGCTCCCCAATGCGGTGCATCCGGCCAGGTTCAAACATCTCCAGGTCCTGAATCCGGAAGTACACCTCCTCAAACCTGGCCATGAGAGGGTACCTGGACATGATGTTGAAGAGGTCAGGGATGTCGCTCTCACTGCTGATGTCGTTGAAGTAGCAGACGATGTAGGTGCCAAAGTTGGCTGGCTTCTTGAAATCTGGGAGGATCATGTTCATGGCCGCGGTGAAAAGGTCCCCCGCAAGCCTCTGGCGGTCACATCGAAGCTGGACGGCAGGCTCCCCGCAGCCGAGGATGGCCTGCCACTTGGCCCGGGTGCCCCGGGAGCACAGGATGACAACCTTGGAATTGCTCTCGACCACCTGCTGCTTCTGGCGGCCCACCCAGGTCATGACCCCCATCTCCGAGATGACCTGCTCCTCCAGCAGGTCGAGAGCCACTTCAGTGCCGCAGACGGTGAGCAGGAACTGGGCGAACTTTAGGACCACGTCTACGTAGAGGGGGTGGTCAGCGGAGTAGACAATCCACACCTTCCTGGGCTTCAGCGGAGGGGGCGTCAGGCCAGAGGCGGGCAGGGCACCTGGAGGAAACAAGTTAAGGCAGGCCCACAGGCTCGGTGTCTCTGCTGACACACCCCAGGACAAGGACGGGACGCAGACCAGGCAACCTGTTTTGGTTGCATGAAAAGAAATCAGTCTAGTGCCTTCTGGGAAGAAGACTTTCTCGCATTTCTATCTGGCCTTCAGCCTATGTACGTCATTAAAGAGAAGAAGGGCAAAGGCCTGCCTGCGGAACAGGGGTGGCCTTTTCTCACAGTGGTACCCACCTTCTTTCCTGCCCCTGTGCCAGTGACTTAAAAACATTACCCCAGGCTTGCCATTTAAGGTGCCCTCCTTGGGGGTGCGGAAGGCGGACCCTCTAAAGGTGAGGTCTCCTGAAGGGACTCAGGAGTTGAACTGCAGAAGGAGACCCGCCCAGGATGTCAGGGGCCCTCCACACCTTCACAAAGAAACACACCAAACCCAGCACACCCCGGGAAGTACGGACCTGCGTCGCCACCGCCTCGGCCGCCTTTCTCCTGATGGGACCCTGGAAGGAAAACCATCAGAGCGGCTGTTAGGGAGAGAACCGGCCGGCTCGGGCCTCCAGGAGCCTGCCCCGCCGGGAGGGCGGCCGGAGCCGGGCGCTGGGCGCACTGGGCCTGGCAAGGAGGCCGGGCTGCTCGGACGGGAACCGTGGTCAGCCACGGCGAGCGTGAGATCTGGGAAGTTACTGATGCCTCAGAAACTCAATTTCTTCCTCTGAAAAATGGGTCTGTGGTGGGGGAACTGAATGAGGTTGTGGGCCCGGCGGCATGCGTTCCCAGTCAGCCACGGTCACGAGTGTTCTGTGGTACGGACCCAGCCGAACCCTGGAATGGCGACCGAGGCACCCACAGCAGTCCTGGGTGCCCCCCTCCCACAGGCTGCCACCCCCAAGGAGACTGCCAGCCTGAGGAAAAGCCCTTCCCCGGAGGTCTCCTTGCCGGAAGCATCAGTCTTGTTACATCCCCAGAAAGTCTCCACCAGGTGCACTGACATTTCCTTCTAGTGCTTTCGAGACGAGGAAGGGACACCACACACTTGGACAACGCTCCCCTCCGAGATGCCAGGGGGGAATCTCAGCTCAGGAGGCAACTTCTTGGTGACAGGGGAGCAGGGGAACCCAGACGGTCAAGGAAGACCGCAGAGCCCTCACTTCAACACCCAGAACAGCCAGATAACGGGCGGGTTCTTCCCTGCCCCTCCTTCAGCCCGCGTGGGCTCTCCAGGAGGTCAAGGGCAAGGGCAGGCATGCAACCAGAGCCTCCTGCATCTAGCGAGAGCACCTGCAGACACATCACCTCATTTGCCTCTGCCACTAACCCTCTGGGGGACTCCTCAGAGGTCCGCTGGTGCTGGTCTGGTGTTCTTCCCACCACACAGTGATTAATACCTAATCCCGACCAGCCTCGCAGGTGTGGAACCTTCTCCCCCACCAGTGGGGAGGGGCAGGGTTGTGGAGGGGCGGGGGAGGCCGAGCCCTTAACGTGGAGACCCAGGCTTTCCCCTGCGCACAGCCCGGCCAGAGAGGGCTGCAGCGTGGAGGGGAGCGGACACTGACCGACACCCCCCAACAAGCACCTTCCCTGCCACGGCCTTTAATCTCACCACAGCCCCGAGAGGGAGGCGCTGGCTCTGCTTTCCAGAAAAGAACCAAATCTACGGTTTATGGAGCAACCTGCCTTTGCCTGAAACCAGTGGGGCAGAGCTGGGACGCACAGCCTGGGCCCGGGTCTCCAGAGCCCCCCGCCACTTCATGCTGTCCCCCATCATGCTGCTCTCCCTGACCTCGGGGCTGCACGTCTGCGCTGCTGCATGAGGGGTTGCGTAGGCGGCTCCCCCTGCCTGGCTGACCGTGTCTGATGCACGGAAACCCCACTCTAGTTCCTTCCCACCTGCTCATTTAAAAAATTAATTTATCCATTGATTTGAGAGAGAGGAAGAAGGAGAGGGAAAAGAGAGAAAGAGAGAGGGAGAGAGACAGACAGACAGACACAGACACTGATTTCTTATTCCACGTGTTTATGCTTTCACGGGTTGATTCTTGTATGTGTCTTGGGGATGGAACCTGCAACCTTGCGTATCAGGACAACGCTCCAATCAACTGAGCTACCTGGCCAGGGCCCCAACCTGTTGATTTCAATATTAATTTAAGTAGCGATAAGTATAATTGTGGCTAACATGTAATAAGACGTGTGTGCCAGACTCGAGGCCGAGAACACACGCATCATCTGTAGTCGGACTGCTTGCTGCTGCGGGTGTGGCGCACTGCCCAGGCGGTACGTGACGGGGCTGGGTCTGAGCCCAGGTCAGCCCTACTGCAGGTGCGGAGCTCGTGCTAACAGAAGCAACAACTGTACTGAATTTGAGACTGCAGGGTGCCTTCTGAACACAGCCTCGCAGAGGACTGGAGTGGGAAGTGGGGCATGGGAAGAAAGAGAGGTGCAGAGGGGACCCCAGGACCCACGCCGTGGCGTCCGCCCCTTACCAGATAGCCTCCAGGTCATGCAGAGGATCAGCAGGATGACGCAGCCCACCAGCAGGACGGAGATGCCCGTGATGAACCCGTACACCCACAGAGGAACATACTCTGTGGTGTATTCTGTGGGGAGCAGAACAGCATGAGTCATACGGAGGGAGCCTGGCCTCCCGCCCTAATGCCCAGCCCCCAGGCTGGCCTCTCTGGCCTCCCCATGACGTGCTGGTGATCTCGTGCATCCCGGGACGCCTTGTGCCCGGCTCCACACCAGGCTCAGCCCCGGACGGCTCGTGTGGCCCCTGCAGATCGTCCCCCCAGGCTCCCTGCAGCACACTGCGGGAAGGAGCGTTGGCCTTACCTGCAATCGGGTCTGTTATGAGAACAAAAGAAAATAGTATTTTAATTACTAACTGTAATTACAAAACCATCGACGACGTCCACAGAGGGCCTGCTAATGACCATGGCCCTGTGAGAACTACTATAGATATGGGTTCAACTTGAAACCGTCTACGTGAAACACCTGAGTCTGGTCTACTCCGCGAGTCCCACCCCTCGCTTGGGAGGCCGGCTTGCTTCCGGGCCAGCCCACCCTGTGCCGTTTTGGCTGCAGCCACAGCTGGGCTGCAGACGGCTCTGAGCAGGCCCTGCCACTTCCCGGGGTGTGACCTCGGACAAGTTACGCATCTCTGTGCCTCCGTCTCTTCACCTATGAACCTGGGGGAGGGAGTCTTCACTTCTCGGTGCTACGGTTCACAACGTACAAGGATTTTGTTCTGTGCATGGATGTAACTGTAACTCTGTAACAGTCGACCCCCACTTTCCAGTCACAGGTGCTGAGGGCCAGATCAGGTGCTTTGCCCAAGGCTTCGCAGCTGTCCCAGGAGGGCGGCTCTGAAGCCCTGCATCACAGGCCCCACCCGGAGGACCAGGTCAGGGTTCCGCTCAAGCTGTCGCCCTTCATCCATTCTCACCCCAAACATATTCCAGGACAGCCATCTGCTTCCTACCTGGAAGTGTTGGGCAGGACACATTGGCGTAATATCTAGGGCAGTCATTCAAACAGCTGTTCAGGAAGGGCTGTATCTGTGTGACAGACAAGGGCAGGGAGGAGAGGGAGTCGGAGAGGCTGGGGGACCCTGCCCTGATGCTACCCTAACAAGAGTCATGGGCCGTGGCTGACTGCTTCAGTATCTCAATGTAGCTGTTACGCAGACCACCCATCATTTCGAGGGGGGCAAAGGAACCCTGCCCAGGCGAGGCCGGGAGTCCCCGGTGGCAGTGCCTTGGGTCCTCAGAGAGGGCACCAGTCACGAGCTGCATTCTTCCCTCTCTTGTCCCTCTAGAACAGTGGTCTCAACCTCCCGAATGCCTGACTGTTTAATATAGTTCCTCGTATTGTGGTGACCCCCAACCATAAAATTATTTTCATTGCTACTTCATAACTGTACTTTTGCTACTGTTATGTGTTAGGCGACCCCTGTGAAAGGGTTGTTCAACTTCCAAAGAGGATGCAGCCCACAGGTTGAGAACTGCTGCTCTAGAAGAAATGCCCACCTGCGCGGGCTCTCCACCTGCGCTCTCCCTGCTACATCCACCCACCTGCGCTCTCCCTGCTACATCCACCCACCTGCGCTCTCCCTGCTACACCACATCCACCCACCTGCGCTCTCCCTGCTACACCACATCCACCTACCTGCGCTCTCCCTGCTACACCACATCCACCCACCTGCGCTCTCCCTGCTACACCACATCCACCCACCTGCACTCTCCCTGCTACATCCACCCACATGCACTCTCCCTGCTACACCTCATCCACCCACCTGCACTCTCCCTGCTACACCACATCCACCCACCTGCACTCTCCCTGCTACACCTCATCCACCCACCTGCGCTCTCCCTGCTACACCACATCCACCCACCTGCACTCTCCCTGCTACACCACATCCACCCTCCTGCACTCTCCCTGCTACATCCACCCACATGCACTCTCCCTGCTACATCCACCCACCTGCGCTCTCCCTGCTACACCACGTCCACACACCTGTGCTCTCCCTACTATACCACATCCACCCACCTGTGCTCTCCCTGCTACACCACATCCACCCACCTGCGCTCTCCCTGCTACACCACATCCACCCACCTGCACGGGCTCTCCCTGCTACATCCACCCACCTGCGCTCTCCCTGCTACACCACATCCACCCACCTGCGCTCTCCCTGCTACACCACATCCACCCACCTGCGCTCTCCCTGCTACACCACATCCACCCACCTGCGCTCTCCCTACTACATCCACCCACCTGCACTCTCCCTGCTACACCACATCCACCCACCTGTGCTCTCCCTACTACATCCACCCACCTGCACTCTCCCTGCTACACTACATCCACCCACCTGTGCTCTCCCTACTACATCCACCCACCTGCACTCTCCCTGCTACACCACATCCACCCACCTGTGCTCTCCCTGCTACACCACATCCACCCACCTGTGCTCTCCCTGCTACACCACATCCACCCACCTGCGCTCTCCCTACTACATCCACCCACCTGCGCTCTCCCTGCTACACCACATCCACCCACCTGCGCTCTCCCTGCTATATCCACCCACCTGCGCTCTCCCTACTACATCCACCCACCTGCGCTCTCCCTGCTACACCACATCCACCCACCTGCACTCTCCCTGCTATATCCACCCACCTGTGTTCTCCCTGCTACACCACATCCACCCACCTGCGCTCTCCCTACTACATCCACCCACCTGCGCTCTCCCTGCTACACCATATCCACCCACCTGCGCTCTCCCTGCTATATCCACCCACCTGCGCTCTCCCTACTACATCCACCCACCTGCGCTCTCCCTGCTACACCACATCCACCCACCTGCACTCTCCCTGCTATATCCACCCACCTGTGTTCTCCCTGCTACACCACATCCACCCACCTGCGCTCTCCCTACTACATCCACCCACCTGTGCTCTCCCTGCTACACCACATCCACCCACCTGCGCTCTCCCTGCTATATCCACCCACCTGCGCTCTCCCTACTACATCCACCCACCTGCGCTCTCCCTGCTACACCACATCCACCCACCTGCACTCTCCCTGCTATATCCACCCACCTGTGTTCTCCCTGCTACACCACATCCACCCACCTGCGCTCTCCCTACTACATCCACCCACCTGTGCTCTCCCTGCTACACCACATCCACCCACCTGCGCTCTCCCTGCTATATCCACCCACCTGTGCTCTCCCTGCTACACCACATCCACCCACCTGTGCTCTCCCTGCTACACCACATCCACCCACCTGCGCTCTCCCTGCCACATCCACCCACCTGCACTCTCCCTGCCACATCCACCCACCTGCGCTCTCCCTGCTACACCACATCCACCCAGCTGCGCTCTCCCTGCCACATCCACCCACCTGCGCTCTCCCTGCCACATCCACCCACCTGCGCTCTCCCTGCCACATCCACCCACCTGCGCTCTCCCTGCTACATCCACCCACCTGCGCTCTCCCTGCCACCTCCACCCACCTGTGCTCTCCCTGCCACCTCCACCCACCTGTGCTCTCCCTGCTACATCCACCCACCTGCGCTCTCCCTGCCACATCCACCCACCTGCGCTCTCCCTGCCACATCCACCCACCTGCACACTCTCCCTGCCACATCCACCCACCTGCGCTCTCCCTGCCACATCCACCCACCTGCGCTCTCCCTGCCACATCCACCCACCTGCGCTCTCCCTGCCACATCCACCCACCTGCACACTCTCCCTGCCACATCCACCCACCTGCGCTCTCCCTGCCACATCCACCCACCTGCACTCTCCCTGCTACACCACATCCACCCACCTGTGCTCTCCCTGCTACACCACATCCACCCACCTGCACTCTCCCTGCTACATCCACCCACCTGCGCTCTCCCTGCTACATCCACCCACCTGCGCTCTCCCTGCTACATCCACCCACCTGCGCTCTCCCTGCTACCACCACCTGCGCTCTCCCTGCCTCACCCACCTGCGCTCTCCCTGCTACATCCACCCACCTGCGCTCTCCCTGCTACACCACATCCACCCACCTGCGCTCTCCCTGCTACACCACATCCACCCACTTGCGCTCTCCCTGCTACACCACATCCACCCACCTGCGCTCTCCCTGCTACACCAACCACCTGCGTCTCCCTGCTACACCACATCCACACACCTGCACTCGCCCTACTACATCCACCCACCTGCGCTCTCCCTGCTACATCCACCCACCTGCACTCTCCCTGCTACACTAAATCCACCCACCTGCGCTCTCCCTGCTACACCACATCCACCCACCTGCACTTGGTGGCGGCAGCACCAATTAAAGTTTGGTAGGGTGAGCGTGACGTTGGGTCGCTGGTGGAAGTCCTCTCGCGTGGGCTGGAGAGAGAGGAGAGGCATGTGAGGCTAGTGCATGAGGGCCGGCTGCAGGGACTGGTGCCAATGTCCCCATGGCTGTCCATTGGCCTCAGGAAGGCCGCAGGAGAAACCCTGCCCAGTTCTGCTCCAGAAAAACTACGTTTCCCTCGTGCACTGGTCCTGTTAACTCATACACACAGCTGGGGGCCGGTGTCCCCTGCCTGCTGCCGAGGGCCTGGAGCAGCCCGGGCCCCCGCCGCCCGGCACACGCCGCATCACTGCACCCCGGCTTCATTTTATCGCCTCACTGTATTTCCCCTTTGTCTTCATTTTCACATTTTAAAAATCTTCAAATCCTTTTTGCAATAAGTAGAATAAACAAAGCAGAACATAAAGAGAACAGGGCAGAATGTGTGGCCGGGAAAGACAGAGGACGGGGTGGGGAGCAGGGCAGAGACCCGCACTATCAGCTACAGAACAAGGGACCCTCCACCACGGGATCGACTGTATCATCGACAGACCGAAAGGGGCGTAAAGAGCCAACTGGCCTGGACGGGGCTGAAGCGCAGCAGGGAGCACCGGCTCCTGGCCAGGGAGGGGACACCGGCCGGCGCGGCTCTAGCCTGGGAGGGGTGACAGTGGCAGTTACCGCAGGGACATCCTGTGTGTGTGTGTAGCATCTCTCGTTCTCCGTGCGCGGGAAGCTGTTCAGCAGGATCTGGTAATGGGTGGATCCATCCCACAGGCTGAAGCTCACCCGCAGCTGGGAGGTGTCCAGGGTCTCCACGGTGATGTTGGGGTTCCACAGACTGCCTGCCCAGGGCACAGACAGGCTGGGAGTGAGGAGAGAGCATGTCTGTGCCCAAGCACGTGCCCCGCAAGGCTGCCAGCCCAGTTACCTGAGCTCACACATGGCCTGGTCTTCTTCATCCTGGGGTCCTTGCAGTCTGCAGACCCAGAAAAAAATAAAACCATGAACCTCTGCCTTATAAAGTTTGCTCTTCACGACTGCTGACAGAGATAACAACCTTTTCCTTCTGGGAGCCTGTTCAAGGGGGCCCTTCACAACGAGCTCCAGACGGACGTGGCCAGGGCCAGAGGCCCCAGACACTGAGGCTGACCTGGCGGTCCCATCCCTTGTCTTTCCGGGAAGCCCCCAGATTCACGTATACTTCTCCTGAGCTTGCTCTGGATGCCAGGGTCCCAGGCTGCTCCCCCGCCGCCCCCGAGTGCAGCTCCCCGGCCTCTCCTGCACCGGGGCGGCGCTGGCTGTCCCTCCAGGGCAGTGCCTCTGATTCAGGAGGTCTGGCGGGTCCAAGGAGCTGCATTTCTAACAAGTTCCCAGGTAATCCGATGGTGCTGTCGGTCTGGGGGAGCACCTTAAGAACCACTGCTCCATACACATCTTCCTGGTCTCCTTCCCCAATTGCCTCGACCGTGAGGATTTTACTTTGGTTTATGAATTACCACAGAGTGACAGGGACTGAGTCAGTCTACTTGAGGGACAGGGGAGGGGGCTGGGGGTATTCACGCATTCCACAATATGCGTGGAGCTGCCAGTATGTGCCAGGGCACCGCTTTAAGAACTGGAGACGCAGTGGTCAGTAAAACAAAGTCCTTGTGTCCAGGAACTACATTCCAGTGGACGAGACCAAACAAACAGCGTGATATAAGGTCATAGAAATCCAATGAGGCGTCAGGGAGTGACGAGCAGGGTGAGAAAAGTAAAGCAGGGTGTGCGGGCCTCCGCGGGGCCGTCACCACCCCGACGAGCACTCCTGCCCCACGAGCCGTGACTGCGCAGCCGCCCGGACCCAGACCCCGTGCGTGGGCTGGCGCTCCACACGCAGCTGGTTCTGGAGGACGAAAGGCTGTGGCTGAGATTCCAGGGAGGACAGAGAAAGAGAAGCGGCAAACTGGATGCCCTTCGGAAGATGAGCCTGACAGGATGGATCAGCAGACAGTGTCACACATGGGATGTGTCAGACACGCAGGCAGGATGTGGGTGCCAGTGAAGAGCAAGGCGATGGGGGCTGGGACAAGGCTGGGGGCAGGGCGAGAGGGGCCTGTGTTCCTGGTCCCTTCTGGGCAGGAAACGCGCTTCTCCAGACCGGGAGTGATGCCAGTGCCCACACAGCTCCTGGGGCCGTGGGCCAATATCCAGTTTGTGTCAACAGAGCACGGGCTCTGCATTTAGGAAGGAGAAGCCGCAGCCCACACCAAAGGGCTCCCCAGCCCCAGCACCTGTTGTTCTGTGGGTACCACACGCGGACAGAGGCAGCCTCGTCCCGCTGAGCAGGAAGGCTGGTACCTGGGCCACTTGCCAGTCTCCTCTGCAGAGCCACATGGTGAAGGGAAGGGCTTGGTAGGGAACTCTTACCTGGCACAAGGAGGTTCTTGGACTGGTGGTTTGGGTCCCCATCAGGGATGGGCTTGGGCAGGTGGTGAACGGTCACCTCATATTCCTGGCCAGGTTCTACCACAAAGTGGCTAAAGGTGAAATGCCACTGAAGAGGAAGGAGGAAGGGGAGATTGGACAGGTCACACACCATACCTCTCACACAGGTGAGCCCGAAGAACCCCACCCTACCTGCCCCCAGAAGATCAGCCAAAAATAAGAAGAAATAGCCATCACAACACAATCCGAAATCAGAGGTTATGTATCTTTGCTCTTTGTTCCCTCTGGTCTTTCCCATTTCCAAAAACCTAGATCTGGCCTCATCAATACCGTGTCACACACAAGAGCACTCGGGGAAGGCCCTCCGCCCCCATCAACCCCCTCAAAGCGCAGAACAATGGTACCAGGGAGCCGAGCCGGGACTTGGGCTACTGGAGGGCTGGCACACAAGAGGCAGCTAAAAACTATTTGTTAAATGACTCTTGCCCCTTAAATGGGAAAGCCAAGGATCTCTCAAGATTGTTCGGGAGCATGAAAGTGTAGAAGGAGGGCTAGAAAGACCCCTAGTCCTCCTGGGCCTGCAGGCACCTTTGTTGAGAGATTTTTCTGGAGGGTGCAGATGACAGATACCGACTTCCACTTCCACTCTGAGTACCCTGCGGATGGGCGGGTCCTTTGCTTCTAAGTATTTAGGCACCTGGCCTTCACCATGCACCTAGCACTCAGGTTTGGGGGCCCCACTTAAACACGGGAGAGGGGAATCTGTCTTTGCTGCCTGTTTGTGGGAGCTCTGCAAGCGGCCACTCTTTGCAGATTTAAACTAGTAGTTTTCAAACTGGAGCTCACAGCAGAGTCACTTGGTGGGCTTCTTGGAAGACTGCTGGGCCCACCCCAGAGCTTTGATTCAGCAGGTGTAGGGTGGGGCCCCAGAATCTGCATTTCTAACAAGTTCCCAGGCCATGCTGATATGCTATTCTGGGACCACATTTTGAAAACAACAGCTTTATTTATTATTTTTTAAAAAATATTTTTACTGATTTTGGAGAGAGGAAGGAAGAGGAGAGTGAGACAGAAACATCGAAGATGAGGAAAACATCCTCCGGCTGCCTCCTGCACACTCCCTGCTGGGGATCGAGCCTGCAACCTGGGCATATGACCTGACTAGAATCAAACCGTGGACCTCGTGGCACACAAGTCAACGTTCAACCCGAGCCACTCCAGCAGGGTGAAAACCGCAGCTTTAAACAAACTAAATGAGAATCAACATTTAACTACCTGGCCACGAGCAGCAAAGTGAGCGGAAATGGTGCAGAACTCATCTGCTTGGGCCCCACCCACTGCGGTGCTCTGGTCTGGGCAGAGTTGTTCCTTTCTGAAGGCAGGGCCCAGATTGATCTCAGATACAAATAAAGATGGCAGCACGCATTCAACTTTCTTAAGAAGGGCCAGCTCGGGAAGGTAGGAAAAGCAGGGGTTGACATGTCTGGCAAGTTTTCAAAAACATGTTCTGCTGCGCGTGATCATCAGAGGAACACAATCTGCCCAGGAGCTCAATTCTTACCCGTTTGTGATGATGCTGAAGTCTGGAGAGAAACTCAAACTTGACACACAAACGCTCATTGGTGTTCAGCTGCAGGACAGACAACTCTGCACCCTCCAGGAAGAGGATGCTGGCTGAAGACCAAAGGGAGGGGAGGAGGCACAGATGTGGATGAATGAATGCGACAAGGCACTGGGTGCGTCACTTTGCAACGGTTAGGCTTACTCTCTCTGAAAAGAAAATCTGCCTAACCCAACCCTCCACTTCCTGCTCCTCCTAGCTCCCTCCTGGGCCTAGGCAGCCGCCTGCCCTCAGATAGTTACTTTGTAGCCAGACAAGAACAAGCAACACTTCGCAAGGTGCTAGAAGCAAAGGCTTTGCAAGCTGTGGCTAAGGTGTTGCAACAGGGCATGGGTGTCTAACATGGCCACCCCAGCGCCCTTGAGGAGGCTGCAACTGCAGCAGGAGCTGGGGACCAACAAAGACCACTCTCCCAGGACTTGTTCACAAATCTAGGGCTGGCTCTTGTTAACCCCAATCTTCTCAATTCTGTAATACAGCTCTATCCCTAAGAGGTTTGGGGGTGGGGGTGGGGTTGTCATTTTAAGAAATGGCAGCCTCTAAATTAAGGGAAAAAGTAGGCTGGCAAATGTGTTAACAATTTTTCCAGTAAATATTTGGTAACTTCAGTTACAATTAACCATGTGACTTTTTTCCTGGAGTGATAAAGATTTCAGGCTGAAGGGAAGCCTTTCATGAAAGATGGTGGGATGGTATCTAAAACACTGAATGAACGATGGCTCCTTTCAGCACTACTTTGGGCCCTCGTGTCTGAGCACAGGACTGGGAACCTACTTCTGGTCTAATGGGAGAGCCAGATGGTCTAGCTTGTGGGTTCACCTGGAGGTGGGCAGAGCCCACAGGTCCCGCTGACATGCCTACTCACCGTCCGTCTGCAGTGTCCATTCGATGTGAACCACAGGGACAAAGTCTTCATGCGGGGTTTGGGCTAATTGCACCTGGACCCGGAGATCTTTTGGGGATGAGGGGGTCAATTTTCGAGGCTGGATCCAGCTGTCATCCAGGCAGGTACCTGGTGGCCAGGAAAAGCACAGATCTGAGACGCTGCTCTGCGAGACGGAAGCATGCAGGCAAGATGCCCAGCAGTGCGTCCAGAGACCTGGCCCTTGAACGCCAGGTGCAGCCTGTGATCCCCTGCGGGGCTCTCAGCGTTCCCACCCTGCCCCCTCTGTTCTTGTGCTTGTCTGGGGTCACTGCAAACTTTGAAGTCTGAAGGGCATTTCAGGAGAGAGCACAGAGCACGCAACTTGGTTTTGAGATGAGGCAGTGGTTGGAAATGGGGAGAGGAAGGACGGGGCAGGTAAGGGCTGCTTTACTTTTATACGTCAGGGTCCCTAATTAGCACAGACACTACACTTCGTGCCGCCTCCTTGAATGAAAACACGGAGCAAAGTCAACACCACAGATGTCTCTCCCGTTCCAGTGACAAGCTCTGGCAAACCGAGTTGGATGACAACGCACCAGGAGAGCATCTCGAGGACAATCTCAAAATCCAAAGGGTAGTTCAGCTTCGCACTTCCTGACTTTGAATAATATTCTTTTCATAAAGATTTAGTATTAATTTTTAGAGAGAAACACTGATGTGAAAGTGGAACGTCCATCAGCTGCCTCCCGCTTCCTGCACACCCTGCACTGGGACGGGCCCACAGCCCGGGCATGCGCCCCGACCGGGAATCGAACTGCGACCCTTCGGTGCACGGACGATGCCCAACACTGAGCCACGCTGGTCAGGGCCTGGGTAATAAATATTCTGAAGCGCGGCTGTGTGCATCCAAGGCCGGAAGGTTCAGCCCTCATCCCAGACTACAAGGGGAAGGGCAGCATGAGGTTAGCACTTTACTAGCAAAGCAACAAGAATGACAAAAAAGGATAACTTACTGTTCTTGACTGTGCAGTTTAGCCCCTGCGGGGAAAAAGAGAGAGATAATTACAGCTGAGGAAGAACTCTGATTCGCAAGCTGGGCTCAGGCACTTTTCTCCGGCTCATTCTCAAGAGTGAAATCCACACGGCCCGTCCTCTCTTCTGGGGGCCAGTCTGGGGAAGGGGACCATATTATCTTCACACTTTTCTCATGCTGCCCCACTGAGGAGAAACGGGATGAGAAGTGGGGACAGTGGAGAGCAAAAGGAACTGGTGTTTTCTGAGTAACCGTTGTGAGCTGGGGACATTCCCGCTCTAAAAGCCTGGACGGGTTCTCCCGGGGGCCCCGGTGACAGGCCTCGGGTCGCGGCTTCCATCTTCGGTGCAGACACAGTGCTGGAAGGGGGAGGAGCAAAAACTCCAGCCCCTGCTCCAGAAATTTCTGAGTCCCTACAGGTGCCTGCGGGAAGAGCTCCCTCACCCTGTTCTGCATGAGTCACACGCCTCAGTCTCACGAGTGCTCGCAAAGCCCCTGGGGCGGAGTCCCCTCGAGAAATCTACCACTGCCAAGCCTTGACTTCTTCAAGTGTACAATCAGAATAACCACACCACCAACTTCATAGTACTGTTGACAATTAAATGCTACAAATGGAAATCAAGATCTCGGGGCAGGGAGTGGGCTGGTAGTGACATGGTGTGTGTATGGCGCTGTTCACTCTACTCCGTCTGTATTAGGAAAGGTTTCAAACGATGGGGATGTATCTGCGCACCAGTTACAAGTGAAGAGAAATGACACTGTTAGACAGGAAGCTTATGACAAGCCCCAGGAGAATCAGTATGAGCAGCTCTGTTGGCTGCAGTACCCAGAGAACCATCTGACTGCTAAAGAGACTAAATCTGTCCAGCGTCTGGCACATAACAGCTGCTCTTTAATTATTGGTTCCCCTTCTTATAATAAGTGCTCAATAAATGGAAGCTATTATTATATGGGTGCCCTCCACACATTCAAACATGGCACTAAAGTGAACTCAGGCTCAGGTATTTTCAGTTACCGTAACTGGTGAAATGGACCAAGCACCCGCTGCGGGGCAGAAAGTCCAGAGTTGAATAGGGCCAGAAATACGATCTTAAGAACAACAGGCAAATGGGTATCTGTGTGTAAACAGGGCATTGGGTTGGCACCTGCCTTTCTCTCAAGAGGGAGCAGGGAGGCGGGGTTAAGGAATGGGAGGAGACGCTGTGCTACGAGGGAGGGTTCATTCACAAAACGAAGGAAGAGAGAATAGAATGTCCAAGTGTGACTGCAAGTGTGTCATTCCACCGGTAGCCAGCCTTTCTGGGACACCAGTTCATCTTGGGGTCTAGACTTCCTGCATCCCGTCCAGCTGCTCGGGATCAATGCTCACCTGCTGGTCCCGGCCAACACAGCCCTGCAAGGCACTCCTCACATGTTCAACAAGACCCACGGAGCTGACCCTGTGCTCTGACAGAGGTCACTCAGTTTCTTGAACGGTGATGAGATTAACTTCCCTGAATGTTCTATTTCTCCTTCCACTTGAAACTCCTAGGGCAGGGGTATGGAGGACAAGAAACTGGCTCTTTCACCTTGAGATGGGGGGGCTCTTCTCAAAAAGGCAAACAGATGCCCACTTTGAGTAACTTCCTACTATCCACTGGTAGCTACTCACACCCACGGCAAGACGATGCATTTAATGAGTGGATCTTGTCTTCATGTAGACCAAGAGGGAGTGCAAGGCTCTGAAAACCCAGCCACACCCTGGCCGGTGGTTCAGTTGGTTGAGCATTACCCTGTGCACCAAGAGGTAAAAATAAAATAAAAAAATGAAAACTCAGTCAGCTAATTAACACTGATGCTGGTGCATCTCCTCTAATTCCTGTGATTGGTTTAAACAGCTTGTTATATATTTTTAAAATATATTTTTATTGATTTTTTAGATAAAGAGGAAGGCAGAGGGGGAGAGAGAGAAACACTGGTTGGCTGCCTCCTGCATGCCCCCCACTGGGGATCGAGCCCGCAACCTGGGCATGTGCCCTTACTGAGAACTGAACTGGTGACCCCTCAGTGCATGGGTCGATGCTCAATCCACTGAGCCACACCAGCCGGGCAATAGCTTGGTATTTAACAGTGTTTTTGATCTTGGTTTTTGACAGTCATGGTTGTATATAAGTATTTTCATCATAGTTTTTACATAAAACAGCTCCTAAACCTTACCAAATACCTCTCCAGCATTTATTAACAAAATAACTTAGATTTTGTCCTTTGTCAATGTAATGAATTATGTTGATAGATTTGATGATAATGGATCAATTTTGAACTGGAATAAATCCTACTTGATTATGGTATACTATTCTTTTCATATTCTACTATTGATTTTTCTAATATTTTATATAGAATTGTTTGCATTTATATTCTTAAGGGAGATTAGTCTTTAGTTTTCTCTTTTTGTATATGACTTATCAAGTTTTAGAATTAAGCTTTGCTAGCTTTAAAAAATAGCTTCCCCCTCTTTCTGTTGAATACCCATCAATAGGGTAGGGCTTAGAAAGTAAGAGCTAATTTAAATCTCAATGTCCATCAAAACAGAAATGGTTGAATAGACTGCTATCTACTACGGATTACTCAGTATTAGAGTGTTAGTTACATAGATGTCTACTGACCTGGAGTGATGGCTAAAATGAAGAGAAAAATAAGATGCAAAACCTTTTTATTTTATAATCCCATTTTCTATGGAAATAAGTGATAAAAATACTCCTTGTATATTTATGTATGTTTGAATATGACTGTATGAGCATAGAAAAACATGTGAACAAATACATATCAGACACACTGGTTACTGGGGATGAAGGAATGGAAGAGATGGAGAGAGGGATGATGGGGGAAAGGATGTAAACAAGCAAAACTATACATACAAGTAAAATATAGAATAAAAAATTCCATTAGAAATCATGGACTATTGCCTAGCCGGTGTAGCTCAGTGGCTGAGCATTGACCCATGCACCAAGAGGTCGCTCGTTCGATTCCTGGTCAGGGCACATGCCCAGGTCGTGGGCCCAATCCCCAGTGCGGGGGCGTGCAAGAGGTGGCCAATCGATGTTCTCCCTCATCGATGTTTCTATGTCTCTTTCCCTCTCCCTCCCTTTCTCTCTAAAATCAATAAAGAAAAAAATAAAAAAAAATAAAAAAAAGAAATCACATATTATCTTCTCCCCCTCCCCAAACTACATAAAAGTTACAGGAAAGAGAAAACTTTTATAACTCTTCAAGGACAAAGAAATGTGGACACATTTTAAAAAGATAAAGTGGAAACTGGCTCAGGCCAAGGGGAGGAATTTCAATCTGAGCGCAGCGGAAGGGAGCTGCAGACAAGAAAGAGGCCACGGGCTCAGTATAACCCTTCTAAGATTCGGTCTCACAGGTAGCAGGTACTTGGGAGGTAGTATGAAGCAGGCAGGGTGGGGTTATGTAAAGGTCTACAGATGGGATTTGGGGAGCCTCACCCTCTCTTCCCCTGCCCTCATCTCAGAATGCTGGTGCGAGGCCCAGAGAGAAGACCTCCAGATTTGGACACTTGAGAGTCAACCAGTACATGGGCCAGTACACGACCCTGATCCCTACGGAAACCCAATGACCAGTAAGCCCTATCTACACAGAGCACTGAATCGGCCTTTTAGAGCTCTTATTTTAAGATTATTCTTAAAATAACCCCAGATAGCCAAAGAGTACCAGATATTTGAGAAAGGTTTCTTGTGTGAAAAATAGATCAAAACAAATATTTAAAAATGTTCTTGGAAGAAATAAGACAATGTTGGGAACAGAATAGAATTTTTAAAAATTATAGTAGTTTCAAAGAGATAGGAGAGGACACAGCAGCCATATGATGAGGATAGTGTGGAAAGTGAGCAAGCAGAGAATAAAAATGAACTTTGAAAATATTCCACAGAAACATTGGGCTATAAAATTCAAGAAATTTGTCTGAAGATAGAACAAATACTAACAAAAATAGGAGAGAAAAAATGTGAATATTAGAGAATCAATTCAGGAGATACAAGGTATGATTAACTGGATTGCCAGAAGATTACAGAGAAAACAGAGGGAGGAAAGTATTAAAAATAAAAGATTCTAGAACTAAGGGACACACATTTTCAAATTTAAAATGTCCACTGCAATGGTCTGCACACAAATTTTAAAAAAGACCCAGACCAAGGCCCCAAATCATGAAACTTTTGGTACAGCAGGAATAAAAAGAAGGTTCTTGGAAAAACAAAAGGTATTTCCCTTAAGATCAGGAACTAGACAGGGATGCCGGCTTTCACCGCTCTTCAACAAGTACTACAAGTCCAGCCACAGGGATCAGACAGGCAGAGGAAATAAGAGGCATCCAAACTGGAAAAGAGGAGGTAAAACTAGTTTTTGCAGACGGCATGATACTATATAGAGAGAACTGTAAAGATTCTACCAAAGCCCTGGACAGTTTTGCTCAGCGGTTAGAGCACTGGCCAGCGGACCAAAGAGTCTCAGGTTTGATTCCAGCCAAGGGCACGTACCTTGGTTGCGGTTTGTCCCTGGCTGTGCAGGAGGCAAACAATTGATGTGTCTTTCACATTGATGTTTCTCTCCAAACCCCCTCCCCCCCCCCCGCCATATTTAAAGATAAGTGGAAAAAATATCTTCAGGTGAAGATTAAAAAAAAAAACAAAAAACGATTCTACCAAAAAACTACTAGAACTGATACATTCAGTAAAGTTAAGAGGATACAAAATGAATATTCAGAAATCAATTGAATTTTTATACCAATAATGCATACCAATCAGAAAGAGAAACTAAGAAAATAATCCCATTTATAATTGCATTAAAAAAAATTAAAATACTTAGGAACAAATCTAACCAAGGAGGTAAAGGAACTGTACTTGGAAAATTGTAAGACACTGAAGAAAGACACTGAAGATACGAATAAATGGAAGCATATTCTGTGCTTATGGACAGGAATAATTAACACCATTAAAATGCCCATATTATCCAA